CCTCTCTGGTCTTTGGGAAATAGAAGCTTGTGCAGGCTCTAAGCGCTGCCATCACCACCACCACCACCACCGCCACCACCACCACTGCTATCACCACCACAACAGTACCACCACCACCATCACCACCACAACAGTACCACCACCACCACAGTACCACCACCACCACCACCACCACCACAGTACCACCACCATCACTATCATCATCATCACCACCACCACCACCATCACTATCATCACCACCACCACCACCTCGCTGCTTCAGGTAAGGCACCCTGTTAGTGGATACGGATTGAGAGAGACAGGTTTGTCCGCGTTCTTCCCGCACTGGCCACATAAAACGTACCTTGTAGACTTTCCTTGGAAGAGATTTACATATGATAAACAAAGGTCATCCCAGGCTTGAGACAATGGCGAGTGAACACAGGCTCAGGCTAACCAGAGGCCACTGGTAATGCTTTCTGGGGTGAGCCTGAGATACTCTCCCCAGTGCTTCCCAGCCTGTGAGACCCCTTAAATCCTTCCCTTCCAAAAGCTCTCCTCAGTTTCTGTTTTTATCTGCCACACAGAAATCAAAGGAGTTGCCCGGTGCTCCCAGTACCCACACGCTAATTTTTAGAACAAAGGAGAAAGATAAGTTATTCTTATTATTTGTTTAACTTTCATCCAATGAGTACAAACATTCTAAAAAGTGTTCTAAAGCCAAACATTTCTCCTTTTTCTCAACACCCTTATTTTCTTTGACCTTCTGGCTGTGAGACTGTATTTTTGGACAGAACAGCGGGACAAGCTGTATCCCCTGCATTGAACCACAATGCTTGGTGGTCCCTCCAGGAGAGACATAAGACAGCTGTGACCCTCCTAAGCTCGGGCATCCCAGCCCACAATGCCCTGCCACGGATTCTGGAAGCTTCCCTTAGCTGGAGAGGACCCGGTACCTGGTATGCTTAAGAAGAAAGCAAGCTTCTTTTGCCAGCTGAGACCACATCTGCTTCTGCTGGCAGCTGGGAGCAGCTGCAGCACCTCCTTGCTGCTCTGGATGGACACTTGGGTCCATTGTAGCCTAGTGTGCTGGACAGGTGTCAAGACTCTGGGGAACCCTATAGAAAGAGCAATTGACTTCCTTCCCAGAGATGTTAGTTGAGTGGGTTGCAGCAGGCAGGGCCTGGTGCTGTTGTTGGGGTCAATTCATGCATTATTGCGTCTTTCTTCGGGTAAGTGGATTGCCATTGAGTAGAGTGGCTCAAAGATTCCCAAGCTCCCAGTGATGTAGAGTTTGAGCAGTGCCCCCGCAGAACTCTGCCTGACAGATGAGCTGAGAGAACTCACTAAAAACTCTTGCTCTTCCTGGGGATTCGGGGTTTTTAATGAGTGGGTTGCATTACTGAGATCAGTCTTGTCTACATGGGACTCGGAAAGGACACGTTCACGCTACGGTGGGCGGAGACAGCCGTGTTAGGTGGGTAACCCACTCCCCGGCTGCAGGAACCGCAAATGTGGGACAGAGGCTAGGTCCTGAAGCTGGAACAAACAGCAGGACCTTTGAGCAGGGAGGGAGCCATGTCCGTGATCTGTGGGTTTAAGGAGTGCCCCATCTGCCTGGTGGGGAGTCCAGCCCTTCCGGTAGTTCCTTCAGAGCCCCTGCACAGGCCACCAGCCTGGATCCTGAAAAGGGACCCAAGGAATGTAGAATGACCTCTTACACTGTCGGTAACAAAGACCCATCCCTTTGATAACCAGGTTGGCTGTCTGGGAAGTCTTCCTGTGGCTTTATTTACCGGGATCTCCCCCCCCCCCGCGCGCCCCGCGCCCCCCTTCCCACTCTCCTGGCAGTTCATGCCTTTGCAACACGAAGGGTTGGTGACTCCGATATTATGTGGAAGACAGCCACCTAGGGTGCAGTTGGGAACACCCAGAGTGGTCCCTTCTCTAGAAGTCTCAGCTCAGACTAAAAAACTCTAAGAAAGCTGCTAAGCACTTGAGTGCGGCAGTAAGGGAGCCTGGAGAGGGACTTCCGGTGCCACCCTGCTCTGTATTATGCCAGAGCTGTGGGCCAGCACTCTGTCTGGAGGACATGTTTCAGCCCAGAGGACATTTCTAGAGGACAGGCGAGGCCCATCAACCTGCCAACCTGCTAGAACTGTCCCAATGGACAGACATACAGGCTTCATTTGCTACCTCCTTCAGAATCATACCTCCTGTCAGAATCTTTCTCACAGCCCGTCCCTTTGAGGGACCCAGCTGGGCCTTTTTTAGGCTGAGAGGTGAACCCATCCATGGAGGAGAGGGAGGCTTAGCAACATTTGTACTCTGAAGAACAAGGACACATTTTATCAGCCCCTTTCTCCTCTCCAAACAGCCCAGACTCTGCCCCTGCAACCGTGCTCAGGCTGCTACGGCTGGGGTGCCCAGGTTTTGCAAGGAGGAAAACCAGTCCTTGTTAGTATCACTTCCTTTCCTGGATTCAAGCACCCCAAATAAAACTCAGGCTCCCCTGTTGCTCGGCCCTAGGGGAGCAGAGTAACCCCATCTGCTTCCCTAGCAGTACCCAAGCTGGAGTCCTTTTTCTGTGGCAGAGCACAGACACACAGCTGGGAAACAGGGTCAATTAGCCAGCGGCTGGCAGCCCGGGCCATAAAAACTCAGGAAGTAGCCACCACAGGGCTGAGGGAATGGCTGTCCCTAATAAAGTGATTGTTTCAAAGAAATGCCAGAATGCAGGCTTTCTAAAGACACAGGCTGAGCCCCAGTCTGGGCCTGGGCTCCCAGAGCATACATCTGGGAGGGGACGTGAAGGATGGAAAGAGGTATGGAGTCCCAGGAAGAGGAGAACGAAACTCCCAAGATCAAAAGTCCGCAGCGCCCACTACTTAACCTCCCACATTCCGGCCACCCCGTGGAGACTGTGGACACCCCTTTCTGCCCTTGCTGTCTGTGATAGGGTTTTGTATTTCTTTCCAGGTTCGTTTCTTGGAAAGTGTGATGGCACTCTTGTTTCTGCTAGGTACCCACCCAGGAGGGTTTAAGGAGGAACAACAGGGATTCCTGGCCTCTTGAGGGACAGCCACCCCCCTACCCCCACCCCACCCCCGTTTTTAACTTTCCTCACAAAACACAAAGGGTAGGAAGAATGTACAAGCTCCTACAGTTGTAGGAGATACATGAGGTCGGTACCAAAGGAGATAAAGGACCCTGGAAAGTGCCCCCCCCCCCCGGGGACCACGAACACCCAGGGAAGCACTTGACCAGAGAACCCACAGGGGCAGGGCTCCAGGAAGGAGTGCTATCTGCCTCCTTGGGTTCCAGCCACCACTGGCAAGAGCAGAGTGGAGCTGCCCAGCCCAGCTTGTGACCTCGTGTCTGAAGTGTCGGCCCCAACATCACAGAGCTGCCTGGTGCAGTCAGGTGGCCTTCTCCAACCCCAAAGGCTCTGCTGTGGGGCCGTTCAGGTCTCCATGGGAGCACTGGCTGCTCACTAGCAATAGTTAATAGTGACAGCAGCCTCTTCATTCCCTGGGGTGAAAACGAATTTCTGTAGAGAGAGTTTTACGTTATAAAGGAGAAAGCGCTGTTTTAAACTAATTTAATGTTTTCAAAGATTTGTTTATTATTTTATGGGTATGAGTGTTTTGTCTGTGTGTGTGTCTCTGCACCACTCATGTGCCTGGTGCCTAGAGAGGTAAAAAGGGTGTGTCAGATCCCCTTGGGCTGGAGTTATGGACAGTTGTGAGCCACCAGGTGGACACTGGGAATTGAACACGGGTCCTCTGAAGAGCAGCCAGTGCTCTTAACAGCTTAGACATCTCTCCGGGCCCCAGGAAAAAGTGTTTTTAAGACACAGGCATGATGTACGACAACAGTAACTGGGTAGGTGTTAACAGAAATATGCTCCTTGATTTTTCAACTCGTAAATATTCTTAATAAAAGTACAAGTGTAATTGGTTGAAATTTACCGAGATCCTAGCCATCCCTTCCGACCCCACCAATTACAGGCTGCCTTCCAAGGTAAGCCATAGCCAAATATATTGTGGCTTTGTAGAGGTGTTCGGTTCTTTAATGCAATACTTTTTAAATGAATTGCTTTAATTGAACTCAAATCCTAAGTGTAAGACGAATTCGAGGGCGCAACCTGGAGCTAGGACCATCTTTTATATTTGGCAAGGAAATAAATGCAGTGCTTGAAATTTGGGACGGCGGCGGTTAGTCTCATCCTGTCCCTCAGAGAGGAAAAGAACAGCCATGGTCTTAACTCCACAAGTCACCTCCTGGGTTAGTCAGAAATGTCCTCAAAGCGATGCTTCTTTTTTTTTTTTTCTCTCTCTCTTGTTTGGGAACGAGAGTTTCTTGACCGCCTCCTCCCTGCGAATACGTGAACAGGACTGCTCTAAAAACCCAGATTCCCACCAAGATTGCTCTTTCTCTCAAGACTCTTGCAAGTCCCTTGATTTCATTCTTTGAACCTGTGATTGGAGGTTAAAGTGCATCAGGTTGGAAGGAGGAAGCTCTTTAACAATAAAGGATTGAATATTTAGCTGTGATCTGGTTGCTGCCCTCTCTCGAGCTCCCCCCCCCCTTGTCTTTTAAAATGCAAATCGTGTTTCTAGGGGGTTGTGAGCGCTGTGCGCTGCGCCTCGACGTCTCCAGCCATTGGTGTCTGTGTCATTACTAATAGAGTCTTGTAAACACTCGTTAATCACGTAAGGCTGCTGGCCTGGGACTCCGCAAGCTAACCTGTGGCGGGTCTTCCCCGCCTCCGCAGCCTAGTGGCAAGGAGGTGGGAGGAAAGAAGGAAGAGAGGGAGGAGGCAGGACAGAGGGAGGGACTGCCCGGGAGGCAGGAGCGCCGCAAGGAGCCTAGCGGAGCACCGTGAGCTGAGGTGCAGCCAGCTACCCGCAGCTCCCTGCGCCCCTTCATCCCTAGCCCTCTGAGCCCCGCGCCCCTGGCAGCTTCCAGCGTTCGTCCCCAGGCAGCATGGTGAGGTCTGTTCTGGGTCCCTCGCCACCATGTACGTGAGCTACCTCCTAGACAAGGACGTGAGCATGTACCCCAGCTCCGTGCGCCACTCCGGCGGCCTCAACCTGGCGCCGCAGAACTTTGTCAGCCCCCCGCAGTACCCGGACTACGGTGGTTACCACGTGGCGGCTGCGGCGGCCGCGGCGGCGAACTTGGACAGCGCTCAGTCGCCGGGGCCATCCTGGCCCGCTGCGTACGGAGCCCCTCTCCGCGAGGACTGGAACGGCTACGCGCCTGGGGGCGCGGCCGCGGCCAACGCCGTAGCCCACGGCCTCAACGGGGGCTCCCCGGCCGCCGCTATGGGCTACAGCAGCCCCGCCGACTACCACGCTCACCACCACCCGCATCACCACCCGCACCATCCGGCCGCGGCGCCGTCCTGCGCCTCCGGCTTGCTGCAGACGCTCAACCCCGGCCCTCCGGGGCCCACAGCCCCCGCTGCCGCCGAGCAGCTCTCCCCCAGCGGCCAGCGGAGAAACCTGTGCGAGTGGATGCGGAAGCCGGCGCAGCCGTCCCTGGGGAGCCAAGGTAAGCGGTGCTGGGGCGCGCCCCAGGTCCCGCGCGCACCGGGGCTGTCCCGGGCTGTCTGCGAGCTTCTCTCCAGTAGAGGAGGAGCAAGGGGGAACAACACAGGGAAGGACTCCTGGTGGGGGGCGCTTTCACGGACTGCGGTCCCAGAAGTGCGTATCTTGTGCCTCGCACACTAGGGTTTGTTTCGGGCAGAGGAATGGTTTCCTCCTCCTAACAGTTCCTTGTTGGCAACCTCGGGATACCTTCGGAAGCTCCCGGCAATGTCGTAAGCACTGTCGGCCGCGAGCTGAATCACGTCCTGGAGTTCTCTGCCGCAGGCATTCCTTACACAGCTCCCCCAGCCGAGACGAGGGGTCCTCGGACTCCCCTTACCGTGGCTACGCTACTTAGCTCCCTCCACCTGAGGTACCCCCGAAAAGGGCAATGGCCAGGGAGTGTGGAGGCTGCGCCAGGACCAGTTTGGCCATTAGGGCCAATTCAAGCGGTCAGCGCCGCTGCGAGCAGAGACTGGACGCTACTGTGCGCCGCCGCTGGCGCGAAGGCGCGGGCCCCAGGAGCCTAAGGGGAAGGGGGCGCTCCAGGATCCCTGACCCTTCCTTCTGCTAAGCACAATCTCCCACGGAAGTCCTCTCTTGTCATCTCAGAGAGCAAAGAGCAGGGGGAGGAAACCCTGAACGGACTCGGCTTCTTCGGACGTGGGCCATTTTTTCTCGAACCTTCCACGTGTTGTGTGTTCCAGACTCGGGAGATAATTCCACTAAAGACCCTAGATTTGCCGGACTGTGGGACTCGCTGGCGGCCGGCTTTGCCCTTTGTGATGTCCCGATGTGTATGGGGAGTGGGAAGGCAGTGGGAAAAGTGTGACAGGGGAGTTACGGTATTGGAGTCCCCTTTTTGTTCCGTGAACCTTCTCCAGCTCTTGGCTTCCGCTTCCCTCCGTTGGTTTCTTGTCACTACAGCCGGGCCACATGCAGGTTATGGCCACTTTGCGGAGGTTTATGGCCAATTACAGCCGTATAAATCAGAGCGGCACTTGGGGGCCTGTCTCTGGACTCTTCCTGCGTCATTGCGCACACCCCAGGAGCGTTCCTGGTGGGCGATGCTGTCGGAGAGAAGCCTCCAGATTAGCCTCCACTGGGCTTTGGCTTGGTCATTTCCAAGAGGACTTACTCCTAGACCTGAGCTACCCCAAACCTGCCCTTCCAACAAGCCTGCCTGAAGGACAGTGGGCGGGGGCCTTAGACCTACGAAAGACCTTTAGCGTGCAGGGGGTGGGTGGTCCGAGACTGGGGTCCTGGGCGGGGGAGGATAGCCTCAGGATCCCAGGCCGCGGGGTCAGCAGATGAGAGGCCGCTGTGAAGTCCCGCGCCGAGGTGGCAAGGCCGCTGTCGGCGCCGGGCGCCCTTGTGATGTTAATGTGGGGAGGCTGTGGCCCGCAGCGCCGGAGCCCGACTTCTCTGCAGAGCGTCATCTGTCAAGGGGCAGAGGCGTGTACGCCGCCCGGTCGGCTTTGATGTACACCTTTTCAGGCCGGCCATTGTCTCTTTTAGGGCCCGGAAAGAGGGTGGTGACTTTCGCAGTCAATAATGAATTCTGACAACTCCTTCTCATCCCTCCCCCTCTTCCAGCCCCCCTCCTTGGTTCCCAGGGGGTGCGGGGCCTCCTCCAAGGCCCTTGGGGGCGAGGACCTCAGAGCGCGCAGAGTCCTTATCATTGTGTTCCTCGGCCTGCGCGTGATGCTGAACCGGCAGCATCCATCCTAGGGCTTGGACCGCCGAGGGGAACTGTCCTGCGCCTCACTTCCCAACTCTGATGGTTTCACGCAGGACTCCCAAGTGCTGCGCTATTCGGGCTGCGCACCCGGGTCCGGTTCTGTCGTCCTCTGCGGAGTGGGGCACTCGCGAGTGGGTCTCAGGCCGTAGCTGGTGTGAACGCGCTCAGGATGTGTTGGATCCCTTTTCTTCCAAAGCAGGCGCGGGGTCGGGGCCGCAGCGCCCATTCAAATGCGCCTGCGGGGCTGTGTTTATGTTAATGCGCCTGGCGGGGAAGGGGATGAAAGCTGAGGCCGCCATTTGCTCAGTAGTGGTAATTCAAACAGAATGCGGTTGTTATTAAGGCATTGAAAGGGCTTTTCTTTGATAAGATCGCCTTGTCCTGCATTGTTTGCGGCTGTGTTCCTCTTTCAGAGGCTGGGGGAGCTCTCTCTGATCCTCCTGTATCCTCCCAGGGCGCTTTTGTTGTGGTTTGCAAAGATTTTTACCTGAACAAAGTCAGCCTGCCGGGCCTTAAACACCTCTGGGCAACTCCCACCCCTTAGATCTCCTTGTTCGACTAGGCACTGGGCGCTAAAACCCGTTCTGCTGTGAGACCTCTCCAACTTGGGACCTGGAACAGTTCCTGGCCAGCGTTCTGTCGAGAAGCAACCCGACAGACCCGGTGAATAGCCAGGCTCCAGCCTGATGCAGCAGCCCCGCGCTATTTGTCAAGGCCCTTCAGTAAAACAATCAATCCAAGATTTAATATGTTGACTCAATCCAATGATCATAGGTCACTGGTCAGGATAGTTGTCACAGGGAATAAATGGGGAATTAAAAAAGAAAAGGGGCCTTGGGCCAAACCTGGTTGGGCGGGCATGAAATGTTCTCAGTAGGAGGGATTTTCTCCTGACGTTACTGAGCCCAGTTCAGAATTCCAGGGCAGGAGTTAGTGGGTCTGGAATATGATCCTGGTGGCTTTCAGGAGGCTGCCAGTCCCTGTGCCCATCTTGCCGCCGCCGTATTGAAACAAAGGGTGACTAGCAGCTTACCCTGGCACCACAGCCCCAGGTGTTGGAAAGGTGGCTGCTATTTCTAGTAAACCTGAAAATGTGGATATTATACACCTGGAGACTCTAGCCACCCCCCCCCCACACACACACACTCCCTTTCTTCTGGTCCTAAATTTACCATATTTGGTTTATGGGAAGGAGGGGGCTGTGTGAGAAGTTTCCATTTAGTAGTTGTGCCCCCAGGCTCACACCCTTCCACTTCCCCAGGATCCTGAGGTGGCTCTTGTCAGCCTTGGTAGTAGATAGTCAAACTTGCTCCCCCTCACCCCTATCAGTGAAGGAAGAGAAATGACTCCCGGGTTAGGGAGGTTTGTCATTACCTATGACTGATGGATTGTAGTTCTTAGCCAAAACTTCTCCTTCCTCCACAGTGAAAACCAGGACGAAAGACAAATACCGAGTGGTATACACAGACCATCAGCGGCTGGAGCTGGAGAAGGAGTTTCACTATAGCCGATACATCACCATCAGGCGGAAAGCTGAGCTGGCTGCCACACTGGGACTCTCAGAGAGGCAGGTGGGAATCGCCTTCCCAGCGTCGTCTGGCTATTATTATTATTGCGTGGGGGCTGGCGTGGGGGCTGGCGGGTAGCCTGGGAAAGCCTGGCCAAGAGTCCACCCGTTTTCCTCCGTGAAAAGGAAGAAAGCAGTTGCCTTTTGAGAAGGCTTGAGTTTTCCAGTTGTGTTTCTGATGTTTCTGAATTGCCCTTTTATTTTGAGGGATCTGAGAGCTGCAACAAAAGAGCCAAGACGCTGCTGCAGCATGGAACGCCACTTGGGCCAAGAAAGATCTATTAGGACAGTGGTTTTCGACCTGTGGGTCCAGAGATATTTACATCAGGATTTGTAACAGTAGCAAAATTACAGTTACGAAGTAGCAACAAAATAATTTTACAACATGAGGAACTGTATTAAAGGGTCACAGCCTTAGGAAGGTTGAGAAGCACTGTATTAGGATATGTTCTCTTTACACCCAGCACTAGAGAAAAAAATAAGAAAAATAAAGGCCCAATCTACTCATACATATTAAAGAGGCAGGGGCTGGAGAGATAGCTCGGTGCTTAGGAGCACACAGTGCTCTTTCAGAGGACTGAGTTCTGTTTCCAGCACCCATATCAGGTGGCTCACAGTGGCCTGTAACTCCAGCTGCAGGGGTCATCCAGTGCCTCTGGCTTCTGTGAGTATTCCCACTCTGTACGTGCACAAACTGACACATACACAAAATTAAAAATAAAAACGGTTTATTTAAAAAAACCAAGGAGGTACTACTTGGACGCTTTTAGAGTCTAGAGAAAAGGAAGAGGAAACAAGACGGGCACATTCACAGCCGGGAAATTTTGCACGAGATCTCACTGCCAGCACCAAGGTGAAGAACATGGCCGTTTATGAGGGCCAAAGGATGCCCCGCGAAGCACACCTGAGCAGGCCACCCGTCTGCATAGGGAGGACCTATCAGCCCAGTTCTGTTCCTTGGTTCTGAGAGTCCAAAAGGCTCTTTTGGAAAGCAACATGGGGAGGGGGTGGGCAAGGAATGAGCCCCCGGCTTCTCGGCAGGTTGAGTTGAGTCAGGGAATGCTTCATCATTGCGCTGCAGCTCAATGGGGGTGGGTGGGTGGGGAGGGTGGCAGCTGGGAACTTCTGGAAGGGCTGGAAGCTTTTCGCCGCGGGCGGGCGAGCGAGCGAGGGGGACGATCTTGGTGGTGCTGCTTCTCTTGTCATACATTCTACCTCTTGTTTTGTCATTTCTAGGTTAAAATTTGGTTTCAGAACCGCAGAGCCAAGGAAAGGAAAATCAACAAGAAGAAATTGCAACAGCAGCAGCAGCAGCAGCAGCAGCCGCCGCCGCCGGCACCCCCTCCGCCACAGGCGGCGCAGGCTCAGCCAGGCGCCCTGAGGAGCGTGCCCGAGTCCTTGAGTCCTGTGTCTTCGCTGCAAGGCTCGGTGCCCGGTTCTGTCTCTGGGGTCCTGGGGCCGGCTGGGGGGGTGTTAAACCCCACTGTCACCCAGTGACCCCTCCCGTGGTCTGTAGCGGCGGCAGAGCAATTCCAGGCTGAGCCATGAGGAGCATGGACGCGCTGCTAGCATCCTCAGAAGAGACCCCTCTCCTCCCACCCACAAACAATGCCTACAGATGAAGAATGGGGAAGAAGTATTAAGACAAGGGGGATTGCGGGCCTCGGGGGAAGATATGGTCCAGATTTTTTTTTTTTTTTTTTTTTTTTTTTTTTACTTTTTCCATTTTGACTCTTCCTGACAGAGGAAATGATCGCTGCCAGGGCTTCGTTCATGCTCCCTGCCAGGACCGGCTACAGGCATCAAAATTTCAGCCTCTTTTGCCCCAGCTCTTTGCCTCCAACACGGACTGTATTTCTGGATGGAGCTGAGGAGGGGCTGAGGCTGGGGAATGAGCAATGCTTGAGCCAAGATGGCTGTTTCCTGCTCAGTGCTTTCTGAGAACCAGCTGGCCGTCGTCGTGCCTCAGGGGCAGGGGCAGTTCAAACTGCAGGAGCCAGAGGCAGCTGCGGTGGAAGCCTGGACCGATCAAAGTCTGCAGAACCCCCAGGTGGTCTGTGCTTTCCTCCCCGTTACAGACCGGGAAGGGTTGGTGGGTTCAGGGGCTGCGGCGAGAGGAGGGGGTGGCTAGCCAACTCCAGGCCTCTGCCACAAGGGCTTGTTTGGAAAGCCTGTCACCAGAGCTGCGGTAGGCTGAATGCATGTCTGTGTTGGAAATGCCAGAGCCAACCTGGACTTCCTGTCCTTCCCCTAGTCTCTGGCTGCTGGAGAACGGAGTTGTTGCTGCTGTTGGAATCATTGATCTGCGTCACAAGCTAAGCCAGCCTTTTAAAAAGCCGTGGGTAGAGAAGTGATATGGTGAAGGGAAGTGGGGGTATCCGAACACAGTCGACTTTATTTTCTAAAAAGACAAAAGATAAACGAACTTTACAGATTTCAGATCCTGGAATTTTTCGTCTTTGGAGTTTGACTGAATTTTATTTTTCTTCCCCTAGGGAATAAAGTATCTTCTCTGACTGCAAGCTAAAAGTTGGGTGGGGGGTGGTAAGGAAGAAGGTGGAGAAGGTTCTCCTGGCAGCCTTCTTTTATCCCAATGCTTCAGAAGCCCGAAGGAGCAGGTTCTGAGCCCTTCCCCGCCCCCACACCTCCGTCCAGCATTGGGCTGTGGAATGTGTGGTTTTCCTGGGGTTGCCTTTGGGCAAAATGCTCATCACGGCGGCGGCTAGCTGCTTTCCAGCTGCTACAAAATCATGGGGGTGGGGAAAGAGGGCTTCAGCTCCCTTCTCAACGCAAACATAAGACAACTTAGTGTCACCCTCCCGCCCCCCGGCTTGGGCGCCCAGGTATGCCCCTTAACCCAGAAAAGTGGACACAAGCATTGATTAGTATTTTTCTGTTGTTTCCAGACAACATTTCCATGACTATATATAGTCTTCTGAATCCCTAGGCATGGATTTCCATGGGCCCTCTCTGTCTACACTCCTTTAGAACTACCCGGAATGACCTTATCCTCCCACCCTCATTCCCCAAACACAAGAATTCAAGATCAGTATAAGATCCAAGTGGCTGCATATCTGGCGGATCTGCCGCCGGCCCTGAGTGTCTAGGTCTCCCGGGCAAGGCCGGGAAAGGAAGCTCTACCCCACCATTTAGGACTAAACCGCGCCCTAGGACAGGGCGAGGACTCACACGGAGGGAGGAGGCAGGGCAGCCTGTGAGACGCATGTACCCCCACCCCCCTTGGAGCACCTCCCCAATTTCCCCGCCCTTCAGGGGGCGAATTTGCTGTAAGATTGGGAAATGGGGTCGAGCGGGAAGAGGAAGGAGTTGGCCACCCAAAGGGAAGCAGCGTCTGTGAGGCGGGAGCTCGCCAGGTTCAGGGCCAGGTGACCCCCGTTGCTCCTAGGTGCCTCCGGCCCCAGCAAAGAGCGCTGCCCTGGGTTCTGGCCGCGCCCACAAGCCGGCGGCGCGGTTGCTATGCGTTGCCGTGAAACGCCTGTCAATAAACCCTGTTTGGACAGTGGAGCAAGAGCACAAGGGTTGTTTGCTTAGTGGTTAGAGGTTCAAAAGTCGGCATTGTCCTGCTGCACGCGATTACAAGTTCTTCCCCCCTTCCCGGGGCTCGGCCCCCCTCTTGGCGCAGAGATGATCTGGGGGTGCACTCTGAAACGCAAGCCAGCAGACAACTCCCCCCGCCCCCACCCGGCTATCCGCAGCAAACGTCTGCCTTAGCCTCCCAGGCCAAGAAAAAAAAAAGGCCCTCCCGGGCCAGTGACGCTTCAGACCAGAGACACTGTCATCGCTAGAGCCAGCTGGAGGAAACGTGGGATGTGGCGCGAACTGACAGCCAGCCTCAGTTTAGGCACTAAACTTAAAGACTCCTTGTGCTTGAAGCTGTTTTAAGATTGATCACCGACGGGCTCCAGAATGCCCCAGCATGGGGCCCTAGAGACGGCCAGTCGGGCTCAGGCCGCTAGGGGGCGCGTGTGCTCTGGGAAGAGCTGGGGCTTAGCCAGTACTCTGCGCTCTGCGTGGGGACACCTGGACAGGGCTCCATCCAGATCATGGCCTGCCAGAACATTACAACCAGGGCCTCTGCTCACAGCTGCCGCCACTCTGGGGCTCCAGAGATCCCTCAACATAGCCCTGGACCTGTAGAAAATGAGTTTAGAGCTGAAGGGGTATGGATGAGACACAACTCACTAACGGCTTAGCATGTGAGAGGGCACCGGGTTCAGTCCCCAGGGCCCAAACTCCACACGCACAAGTTCAGACCAAACCACTCGCGGAAGCGTCTTGGTTCCGCTGACTTTAAGGAAACAAATCTGGCAGGGCCGTGTTGGCGCATACCTTTAATTCCAGCACTTGGGAGGCTGAGGCAGGCAGATCTCAAGGTCAGCCAGGTGCACATAGTGAGTTCCAGGACAGCCAAGGCTGTTACACAATGAAATCTTGTCTTGGAAAAGAAAGAAAGAAACAAAGAAACAAAGAGAAAGAGAGAGAAAGAAAGAAAGTAAAAGAAAAAGAGAAAGAAAGAGAGAAAGAAGAAAGAAAAAATAAATCTGAAGTAGAGATTCTTCACCTTTCTAAAAGAGCTCATTTGCACCCTATCTTTCTTTTTTTCTTAAATTTACAGAAGGCTGGAGAAATGTCTCAATGGTTAAGAGCACTGGCAGCTCTTCCAGAGGACAAGGGTTCAATTCCCAGCACCCTCAAGGCAGCTCACAACCTTCTGTAACTCCAGTTCCAGGGAATCTACACCTTCTGGCCTCTGCAGACATGGTTCACAGACACACATACACGCTGTCAGAACACACACACGAGAAAAGATAACCATGGGAATAAAACATCGGTGTGGGACGTGTAGGGAAAGAGGCAAGCTGTGTGCTGCACGTGGCTATTTTGTCTCCCTATGAACAGCGTGTGGCGTTATTACAACACCTAATAAAGTCGACCTTTGAAAGGCAAATGAAAGCCAAGCGTCACTCTCCTATTTAGTCAGATGCTTACATTAATCAAGAGAATGAAGTTTAGGTAGCAATTAAAACGTATCATCAGTCATTTTCTTGCTGTTGTGATTCATAACCAACGAGGGAAAAGAGAGAAGGCAACGCGGGGCTGCTGAGGGGCAGAAAGAAACAGGTGGGTTTAGGGCTGTAATTTGCATCACAGACTGCTGTTTCAGGGTCTGTTGACATTGGGGAGATCTCAGTCTGACTTACAGCTCACCTGTCTGTACCATGGGAGTCATATGAGGTCTTAGGTGCAAGTATCTTTACAGCACACACTTACGATTAGGCCTTCATAACGGCCAAACTGCTTTTTATCGTGAACCATCTTTGGCAAGGCGCTCCAGGGCCCTTACGAAGAACCTTGGGACAGGATAATTTCTCAAATCCCGATAGAATCACCCCTTCCTGGAATTTTTTTTTTCTTTCCCTGAATCTCTTAGCTCTGGTTGCTTTGTCAAAATAGCCTCCAGTCCGCTCTGCACCCACGGTGCCTCAGACGCTCTGGAGGGGCAGAGCACTAACTTGAATTCCAGATGTGAAGACAAGCAAGTGCCTGACGGTTACTTCCCTGTTACTCCTAGAAATGTCCAAACACATAATTTCTAGGAGAATGAAGATTCCTTGAAGGTGCTTCTGAACCCTCCTTGTAACTGAACAATACTTTTTTGCTGTTTCGTTTGTTATTTAGCCCAAAAGGGGGAAAAAAAAAACCCTGATCCTTTTCATTTTGAAATGATCAGCTCAATGCCATCAGGACAAGTGGCTTACTCTAGTCCTTCTGGTTTTCTAGTCACTGAAACTGCTGCGGCAGGGCAGGTATTGTACCAAACGAGCCTTGGAAGCTAAGAACGAAAAGCCTACACTGTGCCGGTTTACTTAACTATTCAAAATATTTTCTCAAGTCCTACCTAGCTGATGTAAATGTCTGATCATCACGAACGCTTAACTTCATTTGTCCCTTGTCATGCTCAAAGGATGCGTTGTGACCGTCGGAAACGGGGCAGCTGTTAGCGACAGCTGGAGGATCCCAGGGCCAAATACTCAACTCAGTGCCTCAATGTTTGTTTGTTTCCCTTAGCTACAAATCAGAGAGAATAAACCTACTACTTACACCAGATTTCTGTGGGGGTTATGGAGTTAGATGCAGACGGTAGCTCTGAAATTATTATTACTATTATATTTGAGATAGGATTTTACTACACAGCCCTGGCTGTCCTGGAACTGGCTGTGTAGACTAGGATGGCCTCCAGCTCACAAAGATCCCCTACCCTTGCCCTCAGAGTGTTAGAACTAACAGCATGTGTCACCACACCCCGATTCTGAAATTCTTCAGAAAAAAAAAAAAAATTGAGCTCGGCTTGGTGGTCCACATCTTTTGATCCTAATATTCAGGAGGCAGCGGCAGGTGGCTCTCTGTGAGTTTGAGGCCAGTCTGATCTACAGAGTGAGTTCCAGGACAGCCGGGGCTACACGGGGGAGATGGCT